TTTAGCTCGAATGGTGACTATCGTCCTTACACATCCTTGGTAGCCTATGGCAACAATTTAATTAAATCCATTTAGGTTTACACCCTTTTGCTCTTCCCCGGGCACGGGACAAAACATTGTAACTTTTTGTGCTCTTCCATTTTTTCTTCTTCTTCATCATCTTCTCTCCGTCGTTTTATTCCCAGAGACCATCACCACAATTGCGGTAATGTTTCACCGCATTTATTTTATGAACAAAAACGTAAATATACAATGAAGAATAATAGCCATGCGGATTTGATATGGAAATTATAATCCTCTGTTTAGACACAACAGCAAAAAAGATAGTCGCATTTAAATGGCACTTTGAGCCATGGGAGAGGTCAAAGCGGAGAGGGAACCCGAAATGAGATGGAGGACAATTTTCCCGGTCGCCAATACATACATACATACATGGCGGTTCTTTATTTTGTATGAATATAACAAAAGTTGGACTATTCAGGAGCTGCCTTTCGCCGTATTGTCCCCTAAAGGAGTTCTAGGGGACAAGCGCTAATGATTCCTATCTTTCTTAGCCACGTCGATATTTTTAAGAATTTTTAAATATTTCTATTGTAATTTGTAAAGTTTAATTTATAATTCTAGAATTGTATTTATAATTCCAAATATTTCAATTGCAATATTAGAATCAAGGCCTATAAAGGGTCGGACAAAATACTACTTTTGGCCCGACAACTTTTAGATTATGATCTGGGGTGGGAAATTTCAAGTGGAGGTGATAGTATTCGGTTAGGAAATCAACATCTCAGGACAAACTTAACCCTCAACCACACATAAGAATTCGCAGAATCATTTAAACAAAATTTGGGTCATTTAGGTCCACGTTTTGGATAGCCCCCATAAATATATTTTAGACATAGTTTTCATACTAAAATCAGAAAATCTTGGTAATTTGAGTTCATAGCAAGAAGAAGACAACCTTGCAAAAAATATCAATATAGACCCACGTTTTGGTATAACCCTCATTTGAAGGTATCCCCTGATTTCAACTATTTCCAGGGTCTTGGCAACATATTTCTATCGATTTGGCCCTTATTTGGCATATTGGTTTCTATAGGAGTAGAAACCACCTTCGCAGAAAATGTTTATTGTAAATCAATGTTTCGGAGTAGGGCCAAGTGCCTCCTGATTTAACTTATTTCGAAAGTTTGTATTCAGGCTAGTTAAGCCAATATTCTCTGGGGGTGGAAAATTCTTGAGTTACAAAAGGTAATTCACGAATTACAAATAAAACGTCCAGAATGCGCCTAGCAATCTCGGCATTATCCATTCATCTTTCTTCAAGATCTCAGCTCCTCATATCTGTGAACTATCCTCCCAAAGAAGCCAAGCAGTTCTCTTTTTATTATTTTGGCAGACACTTTGGCCATTATTGCAAGCATTACCATTAGACAGCCATAATTCAGTTGTTGGCTTATAAATCAGCTCATTAAATGGATGGACATGCTGCTTATGTCTGTCTGACTCTCAGTCCTCTGGCAGGACGTTAAAACGATTGCAGTCTTGAGCGTTAAATGCGTCTGGCAATTTTGTCACTGTCACTGCTACAGCCACCAACCTCTGCCTCTGCGAGAAATGCAACTATAAATTGACTCGCTTCGGGCCGGGGCGTGGAGCGAGGTAGGCAAGGGGAGAACTGCTGGTATTTGTCTTGGAAGATAAACAGCATACTTCCCACTCGGCAAAATCTCATGACTGAGTCATTCCTAAAACTGTTAGCAGGATATTTGCGGATACAGAGTACATGGGCGTATGTGTGTGGCGCGTGGCTTTGTTGGCCTGTGTAAGTCGTTATGTAAGGCAACACAATAAACAATTCAATGTTGTCGACACTGTTGTCATTGTTGTAACTGGTAGTTTTTCATTGTTGTGTCATCTGTGATGTTGTAGTTGTTGTTGGCAGTGCGGAGAGTTGAAATTGTAAAGTGTCGCCCGTCATCTTAGAAGATAATTTTTATGGCTCACTATTTCCGTTTTGTAACGTCTTTATTTTGTTGTTCTGCTCTCCCAAGCCTCATTGTCCTGCCCCCTCAAAATACATCATTCGTCTTTGCCCACACAAATGTCCCCTTTGATTTGTTGTTGTACGAGCAATTGTCTCGTCTCTGCAAGGATGGCGAAATGTTGTCGATAATGGCATTGTTTTGTTTGTCTATCTATCTACCCCCCTCTCTCTCTCTCTCTCCCGCCCCCTTCTCATGTCTGTCCCCCGCCAACATTATCACAATTTTGTAATATTTATGTTATTTGTAAAGAAGAAATTGTGTTCCATGACAGTTTTCGCGTTGGTGTTTGTTTTATTATGCATTGATTGTGCAAAAAACAATTACACACACACACAGTCACACTCACGCATACATTCACAACAATTTCAATTTATTTACGGATAGCTGTCGCTCAGTTCCGCCGTTCAGATTGAAATTATGACAACGACGTCGATAATGGCGTTAGCAATGAAACGCTCCATTGTTGGCTGAGCATGATTATGGCGGTTGTTATTATTGTTGTTGTTGCAAAACGCTTTAAATCATCTATGCAAAATACAAACATGTGGTTGTAAATCTTTTACAAATCATATCCACCGAAAGTCATTAATTGTATGTCATCGTCAATTTTGAATCTTCGAATATGGATGACAAACAAGGAAAGAAATTATGCAATCTAAAGGGGACCTAAATCGCCAGACGAGGCATTAAATCATAATAGAGATGCATAGGATGAACACCTTCGCCAAAGGTATAATATTTGCTATTGGACGTTTTTTTATACCCTAAGCCATATGGCTACAGAGGGTATATATCATTTGATACGGCCAAAACGTTCCTCATCATTTATATCATTTGATACGGCCAAAACGTTATAGCCTAGGTCTCTTTGGACCAAATCCATTTCAGGACATTTCGAGTCGATCTAGCGATGTCCGTCTGTCTGTCTGGCTGCTGGCTGGTGCGCACGATAACTCTCGAAGGGAGTACCCGATTTAATCCAAACTTGGTACATCGTAATATTATTGTCAAACTTAGATCGAATTCGGAGATGGGCAATATCGGTCCACTCCTTCTGGTACCTACCCCACAAAATGTCAACATTTTCATTTACTGCACAGAATGAGAAAGGATTATTCAATTTTACTCCAACTTTGCAAATCCTAATATTATCGTGAGTGTTAGGTCAGGTGCGAAAATGGACAATATCGGTCCATTCCATCCAGTACCTCCCCCACAAAGGGTCAACATTTTAAATAATTATAGCTCTTATAAAATGTAATGTAAGTGTCTGATTGCCTTCAAATGACACACATCACAATATTTTTATTAACCCAAGTCAGGTGTGAAGATGGATTATGTCGGACCATTCCATCTGTTACCTCCCCCACAAACGGGTCAACATTTTGAATACCCACGAAGCTCATATCTAGAGAAATTAACATTCGATTCCATTCAGACTTGGTACATCTCAATATTTCCATTAACACAAGATATGTTGTAAAGTTGGTAGAGATCGGAGCATTCCTTCTGGTACCTCCCTCGCAAAGGGTCAAAGTTTTAAATAACCGAAACGATCATAAATTCCGAAAAAACATCCGGTTCTCCTCAAATTACACACATCTCAACATTTTTATTAACCCAAGGTCTAGTGTGAAGATGGGATCTATTGGTCCACTCCTTATGGTACCTCCCTTTAACACTCCCACAAAGAGTCAAAATTTAGAATATCCATGAAGCTCATAAAAAGCAAAATTAAGATCCAATTCCATTCATATTTGGTATATTTCAATATTTCCATAAACACAAGATGTGTTGTGAAGATGGACAATATTGGACCACTTCTTCTGGTCACCACTCCAAAGGGACAAAATGTTTTTAAGTAATTTTTATCAGACCTATGTCAGATACGAAATGGAAAATATTGGCTCACCCCTTCGGAGCCTCTCCTATGAAGGGTCAGCAGTTTGAATATTTATGACGCAAGTTAAAATATATTTAAATCACCGAATATTGGCTGAGGGTATACAGCTGTCGGTAAAACCAACTGATACTTTTAACTTCTTCTTTTCGGGTTTAAACACCTATTACCCAGGGACTAAAATGCTTTGCGATTCATTTGACGCCGTCGTTAGTCAATGAGTTTTGATTTTTTTTAATCCGAACTGAATCCACAAATATCGCGTGGCTTATTAAGGCAAATCTTTGAAAGTTTTGTATAAAACATTGCTTAATGGTCTATGTTACTTTGAGCAAGATCGTATTGTTATCCCGTCCATTTGGAGCGTATACGCATTATGTGAACTACATGGAACGGCAATACGTATACGCACCCCCTAACTCCCTTTTAATAATTTCTGTTGTTCAGTTTTTATTCATTTTCTTAATTCCATAGGTCGTCCATTTCATTAACTTGAAAATTGTAGAAGAAATCGCCTCTATTAATTTTAATAAAGCTAACCTGCTGGATGCCTTCTCTATGGCCAACCTAATTAAAATTGGCATTTGTTAGCCCCAAAAACATGAATTGATGCCAGCCAAGGGCCACGAAGCAAAAGCGTAGAGAAGGGAGAGAGGGCGGTTATAAAAAAATCTTAAAGTTAATTGGCTTTAATTTCAGCTAGAATAAATACATTCTAGGGCAAAAAGCTGGAAAAAATATTTACGTTTCGGTGCTGGGTTTTCTGGCACTCTGCTTTTAGTTTGTCGGGTGTTTTATTTATTTATTATTTTTTTATTTTTTTTTTCTCATTTTTTGGCTTTCATTAAGCACATTCTGACCACTGAACTAAAAAACAAAACGACCAAAGGACGTACTTTTGATAAGCATAATTTCCAGTTGGAAAGCATTTTCTTGTTTCGTTTTTTTCAGCCTTCTCCACTTTTATTACGAACCATTTCTTCCGTAACTAGATTATTTGCTTACGAAACTCTTTTTTCATAAATAATTCTTGTTTGTTTTTTATTTCATTTCAGATTTGTACTGCATTTGAATACATCGACGCCCTTAAATATAAATTTCTCACAAATTGTGGCACGCAAACTGTACTTTAATCAGACGAGTAAGTCCCGATATGTCCTGTCACAAATCGATCGAATGCAATTCTCTAATTCCTAATTCATTTTAGTAAATCTGCTGCGTTCCAGCAAAAATGCCCAACATTCGATAACCCTGACTTGTGCCCTTCGTGGCCAGTATGATATTTTTGTGCAGGCCCGTCACAGGGGTTCGGTGAAAATCGAGGCCATTGGTTTGCACCCGCAGGCCAATTGGCCGCTATTGAATCGGACACATCGCATTACCATACGAAGTCAAAATCGAATACGAAAACGCCAAATGATTGTCAAATGGGACAAGAGGTGGGTAATGGACTGGTGACAACGATAATTTCGCAGAAAAGTGTTAAGTGATACGTTTTCGTCTATTCCAGCAAGTTTGATTCGCATGCAGTCCAGTATTGTCTGGTGGTCAGCACGAGAAATGCCCATAAAGATTTCTGTCAGGCAGTTGATGAGTTTTTGACATCGCCCTCGGCAAATCGTAGAAATTCAATGGGAGTTTGTCAACAACCCCTAACCATAGAATCGATATTGTCCAGGCCAGCTGAGAGGGCCAAGAAAATCGGTAGGTAAAAATCATGTCTAGATTTGTTAGCGTTTCTTCATAGGAAATTTTATACTTTCCAGATCCCCACACCACAAATGTCATTTGCACCGGCAGTCGTACCCATCAGCTTATCAGAGGCTTGGCGCCCAATTACGAATACTTTTTGGATGTGTTTGGCATTCACACCAAACGCCAGAATCTCACCTTCCACATAGCCTCATCAACCATTCATTTCAACAGAACTCATCCGGCCTTGTTGAAGGCCAACTCCCTAAGTATTGTTAAGATATCAGGTTTACATGGGGTGCAAGTGTTTAGTTTTAAGGTAACCAGAATATCTCAGTATTTACGAGCTCGAATGCCAGAAGGAGGTCTATAAAATTAAAAAAAAAATTATTTCTCTTTGTTTCAAGGTCCCTCCTCTTCCCACGCCCGATTCCCAGACGTCATTGCGCTATCTGGTCTTACCCTGTGGCGGCAGTGAAGTCGATGCCAAGATTTTGAAACAACGCAAAGTCATTGGAAATATCAGCAACATTTACCGGCCAACTTACATTGATCTCTCCTCGATACGAGAAGCGGGGCGCTACATGATCCGTTTCAAGCCCAGCAATGATGACGAAGTTCTTCGCGCCAATAAAATTGGGGTAAGAGTAATATGAAATTTGAAGAAGTATTCAATGGAAGAGAACTTGTAGACAAAATTGCACCTAGGGACCATGGTTGTAGAAAACTAAAAGAAGGTGGTTTCCTTTTATCATATGTTCGTTGTGTGAGAAAGCAAGGCCAGTAGCTTAGTTCCAGATCCTGAAATAATCTTATAGTTTTATTGGAAAAAGTGCGACTTATGGCGCTATAAAAAAGTAAAAAGATCAGCATATCTGCCAACTTCTTTTTGGTCCATAAGTTGATTTTAAGGGTCTGCCAATTAGCTGTGATATTTCATTTCTGGGTACAGATGTTACTGCTTTCCTTATTAGATCACTAAAAAGAGGGTGGCAAAAAATCCCTAACCAAAAGTCGTTAAAACTCTTTCTCATTTCAGTATTGAATTATAGATTTTTTTAAAACTTCCAGAAATTGGTCTCTGGTAATAGACCATATTAAATGTTGATAATAAAAAGTTGACCGATTTTTATACATTTCCATTGATACTGCCTAGATTCGACTCCCAAAAAATATTCGTTATTTTTTTTCGTTAAATTTCTATCATCTATTCAATCACACCACCTCTTGCAAAATACCCACTTCATATCACACATTTTGAAAATCAATTTGTTTTGAATAGTGTCCTAAATTGAGTTTTTTGTATAATCTGCTTTGACAAACCATACAACCGTATCAAAATAATTGTTTGTCTTTTTAGTATTTTAAAATTAATTATCGTTATTTTTTTTTTGTACTTTTTCCTCTTCTTTTTTGTAGCTGGCCGTAACAACCAATCGCGTTTTTAGTCAACTGCCCGAATTGCCCGAAAACATAACCGTTTTTGAGGTACGAACAAAATGTCACTCCACCAAAATTGCCTGGTACAGTTCGCCAGAAATTCGAACACTCAGGTGAGCAAACAACAGCATTTTCGTTTAATTCAATTTTTCTTGTTTTTGCTTTGGTTGTGTTTTGTTTCGTTTTGTTTTGGGAACGACACAGTTTTTACAACAATCCAAACAAAATCAACGTTAAATCAAATAAACAAATATTGATTCTTGTTGTTGTTTTTTTGTTGTTGCTATTATTTATTGTTTCATTATTAAAAACTGTGGACAACAACCTGCTGACCCCATTGGAACTTGTTCTCGATGCTGTTGCGTGGCATATGACCTGTGCACACACACACACTCGCACTCACACCCACCCACACAATGAAAATATGGAATTTATGAAAATTGGATGATGTCCTCTCCACTTCCTCGAATACTCTCCTCCCCGCTATCGCTAAACAATGTTGGGATTCTGGCTGGCCGTTGTGTTACATCGACATTCAACTGCGTACATGTGTGTGGGTGTCTATATGTGTGCCTTGGGCCTTTATAATGCAATACATCACGGTGCTGTTGGTGTTGGTGCATTTCGCGATATTGCGGTGTGTTTTGGGCCGGTTCACTGGAGCAGTTACTGCATAATTGTGTTCAATTTGCCGCAACGCAATCGCAGCTCCATCGATTATACAAATTATTGCATGGATTTTGGCAAGCGTGTAGTGCAGCATCCGCAGTTTCATTCAATAAAATGCCCCAAAAAAGCTAAAAAGTGAGTATATAAATATCCAAAGATTCTCTAGATTAACGCAAACACACACACATACAATTGTAATCGTATATTTGCCAAAGAAATGTGGGAGATAAAAACTAAATGTCTGGCCATAAACAAGGCAAAAATAACATTCTTTTGAAAATAATAAAATAAATAATAAGTTTGTCTGGGTACTTTTCCAGTAATACAGGTTGAAATAAAAAAAACTGCAACAAAACCAAAGGCCAGAATGTTTACTTTTTTTTTAATTTTTATTGAATGAAAGCAAAAATTTCGGAAATAACATCAAATTTTTGAATAAGTTTAGATTTGTTCGAATTGGTCACCTTTGGCCAAAGAAACCGTCACATGCTGCCTGAATGTTGCTCTGCGGCATTTTGGCCCATTCCCGGCGAAGCGCTTATTTGAGGTGATCGACACTTTGGTATTTTTTAGTGCCAACCTTGCTTTCCAAAATACTCCAGAAACAATAGTTCAACGGATTGGTATCCAGAGATTTTGGTGGCCATTCTGAGCTGGAAATGAAGCGAGGAACCTCATTTTGGTTGGCGCGTGCTGAGTGCGATGGTGCCGAGTCCTGTTGGAATGTCCAAGGTACACACCCTCCAGAATATTTTCGCGATAATATTCGGCATTTATTCTGATGCCAAGCTCGATTAATATGAGCGGAGAGCGACCATCGGCTGTTATGGCGGCCAACACCATCACCATGGTTGGCGCTTAAGTTCTGGTGGCCAACCAAAGGAGCACATTTTCAGCTTACTTAATTTCGTTTGTTTACAAAATTCTGGACAACGAATGTTTTCTCACGCGGGTCTCGATCAAGTCGCTTCTTTACTTTTCGAACCATTTCGGCTGATGTTGCTGTTTTCTTCAGCCCACTTCCTTGACGTCGGGCTACGGTACCAGTATCACGATAACGAGCGATGGTACGAGACACAAAAGATTTATTCACATTTAAATGCTGGAGTACTGTAACGATAGCCACTTGTGGTTCTACAGCCAAATATAAAGAAATCACACTATCACGCTTGAATTCCATTAAGAATAACTTATTTCTAGAAAATTCTCACCAAAATGCTTTCGAACGCTTGTAAACAATATAATGAGCTATCACTGTAGTAATTTGAACACCTGTCGGATGAGTGGCTTAGAAAAGACAGCATCATTTTCATCTCACCCTGTATTGTAATGTTTAAGTCTATCACATGGTCGGCCCCGCAGTCTATCACATGGTCGACACCTGATGTGTGTTTGTTATTTGTACAGTTTACCCGCCAATTATTAACAAAAAACATTTAATTTTTTTTTTTTGCTTCATTTTTCAATTCGCAGCCCACCACTTTTGGAAACCGACACCATTTTCAATCTAACACCCGGTGAATCCTATCTAATCTATGTGACGGCCAATCTGAGCGAAGGCAAGCCGCTACCCTATCAATCTCTTAAAGTGAAAATGCATCACCAGTGCCCCGAGGAAGTGCTGGGCGCCGAATCAAGAGATCAATCGACCTACTATTTAAATTAAGTTTTAAACTATAAGAAAGCCAACACAAAAAGAATTCCAAAAAAAGAAGCGAAACACAATTACAAAACAAGCTATGATCTACTCTAAACTAAATTACAGTAGCAAGGAAAGAAAACGCCATTGCCATTTGCTAATCAAAAAAAGAAACACACAACAAAACAAAAAAAAAGAAAAAGAAAAACCAGATATTTGATAAATAAGCAACGAAAAATCAAATGAATATTTTTACAACAACTAATTTTAAATTAAATGTTTTAGTTGTAGGAGATTTGTTTTTGTAATGTTTTAGAATATCTATGGAAAACAAGTAGCTTTTAATTTTGCAGCAATAAGTTATGTTAAGAGGGAGAAAAAATGAAAAACGAAAAAGAAAGCAAAAAAATTAAATATGATTTGGATTTAAGATTTACAGGTCTACCTAAAATCGAGCGTAGGAGGTCTAAGTTTTTCACCACGAAAATTGAACACAAGGGAAATCCAATGAGGCCTCAGGGAGGCAAATTCAGGCCTTAGCTTTTTCTTGATGTCTCACATATTTCTTGAAGCCTTAATTAAAGAGGATAAAAACAAAAATATATTTCGCAAACATGTTGGCTATCCGATAATCATGAACATTTAAAATGTGCAGGTCTTAATGGCCGCCATTTTGATGTTCTTACTGATCGTGAAAAATATGGTTTACGTTGGGCATATGTTGATTGTAGGCCCTTAGAAATTAACTTTTATACTCATTTCAAGGAGTCTAAAATTGAATTAGCAGCTTTGAAGAAGGTTTTCGACGAAGCTTTTTTAAAGCTTCACAATTTCGAAAAAAGTTTAATAATTTTTCAATTCCTAGATGGATCTCCGAAACGAAAGAAATCCTCAGTCTTTGTACCCGGTGATGATTTGATCCGTTTAAATTCACCAGCTGTGGCACAGCCACACAATGCTGCCAAATCTTTTGGCTAGGACATCCCACCCTCTACTAATTATAAAACTATTGAAATTGTTGCATGGAAATGCTTCGGTCGAAATGCAATCTTATAAAACCTATAGCTTCTCAATTCTTAGCGCCTGCAATTGTTGTTAACTGGTCCGGTACAATAACTAATACTATTTCTCTAATTTCTACCGATGACACCAGTAAGCAAACGTTATTTTTTCCACGTTCGGCAGAACCGTTAAGGGAAGCTTCTGGCCAAGCCTCCATCGGTTAAAAAACAAAATCTCTTCCTGCTGATAAATATAAAAATAATTTATCTGTTTCTGCAGACATCAACAATCAGAAAGTTAACGTTTATTGTATGCTGCCTCGAATATTAGTTAGACCTGTCACACAGCAGACTTCAATTTTTATTTTTGTTTAAGATTTCAATGTCTTTAATATTTGTACATTTTTTATTTCGCCCGAACCTATATATATTTGTAAATATAAGTGTAGTTCGATACGATGAATTGCCCAGATTCAATATTACAAAATAGGAGTGATAAAAAAAGGGGAACGAATACGTTAGAAATTTCCCAAGCCAACAATTTTCCATTAGCCAATTGGATAATTTTTAAGAAATTGGGTAGAACTAGGTATCAATGGGTGTTGCATATTCGAATAGACTCACCATTAAAAAATTTGCCTTATTGTCTTCCATTTGCGTATAAATTTTGTATTTTCATTTATTTTTTTCTCACTGAATTTATTCTTCCCCTTTCACCCCCTCCAGTTATTGTCACTTCCATTTTGTTTGGAAAATTTACCATGGGCAATTCATTATTTTTCTTATGTAAATTATTATTATTTTTTAAATAGCTTTTATCTTCAGTCTTTTTTTTTTCTACACTCGCATATTATATAAGTATTGATGTGGTTGTTGTTAAAACCACAACAACAACAAAAACTATGAAAAAATAAAATTAAAAAAGAGAAAAACCAACTATTCTACCTATTTACCTACCTACCGTAATTTCAATAAATGAAGAAGAAGCAGAGGAGGAGCAGAGAAATTGCTACATAACTTTAACAATAAAGTAAATATTTATAATTAATATGAAATAAAGCAAAAAAATTAAACAAATAAAATATGACAATAAACATGCAGCTTCATTCTCTTCTTTTTTTCATTTTTTCCCTCAAAGGGAAATATTTAAAAAATAATTAATTAACTACAACTAACTATGAACTAATAGCTAAAATGAATAATGGAACACACATACATTGAAAATCAAATAAATTAAATACAACAACAAAAAAATATACACTTACATACCACACACATAGAACAACAACATTTATATGAATCAAACTGATTTAAAATCGGAAATTATGGAATTTATCATTGATATTTTATACGAAGTCGATTTTTACAGATTTCAAATGATGCTTAAACTTTCTCAAGGATGAGATAAGATATAGCGTTTTTCGTTTGGTTTCAACTAATGCTAGCAATTTGTATTGGATTTGTCACAGTCATTGGCAGGATATAAAAGCCATATTGGGTTTGGGATGATTCAAATCGAGTAATTCATAAATAGGAGCTACGATATACGATAATATATAGTCTATGGACCCCTAGAAGTACTGACCTCGATATGACTTTTTAGTGTGAAATTTCAAAATAATTATCATCCAACCTTGGATTACAGGGAAATTCAATGTACATCTGGCTCGCACACATACATAGGTTATTTTAGGAACATGGATTTTCAAACAAGACCAGACTTGCCTGTTCTGGTCTAGACTTATAATACAGCAAAACATTGGTTCATGATCAACAAAAAATATATTGGCCTGTATAATTCACCTTTGCTGACCTGTCCATTTTACAGGCTTCGAAACGTTGTGGGCGTCAAGCAATGGGTTCAGGAATTTGATGCGATACTCAGATGACATTTGCAAACATCACCCATTAAAGATTATGACGTAACTCCCAAAGTACGCTCCACAGCACCCGGTCGCTCATTCCGCAAGAGACAATTTGCCATTACTGGGGTAATATACAGGATGAGATAAAAAAAACTGCAACAACGTCGAACGCCATAAATTTTGTTAAATGAAAGCAAAAAAGATCGGAAATAACATAAAATTTTCGAATTAGTTTAGATTTGCTGGAAATGGTCACCTTTAGCACAAATTGTGGCCTTCAATCGGCCAATGAAACCGAAACAAGCTGTCCGAATGTTGCTCTGCGGAATTTTGGGCCATTCCCGGCGAAGCGCTTGCTTGAGGTGAGCGGCACATTGGTATTTTTTAGTGCCAGCCTTGCTTTACAAAATACACCAGACACGATAGTCCAACGGATTGGTATCCGGAGCCCAATCCGGGTAAGCTGACCTCTTAGGCAAGTAAACACGATCAATTTGTTTGTTTACAAATTGCTGAACAACGAATATTTTCTCATCGGAGAAAACCAAATTCGGCCAACCAAGTTCACCACTTTCGGCAAAGCGAAGCAACTCTTTAGCTATTTTGGGTCTATTTTCTTTCCGTTGCGGTGTAAGTTCTTGCAATTTTTGGAATTTCAATTGCTTTACCCTGAGCTCATTTTTCAATATTTTTCGAATAAAATATTGTGATATGTTCAGCTCACATTTTTCGGTCACAGCGACGCGGTCGATCAAGTCGCTTCTTTACTTTTCGAACTATTTCTGCTGATGTTGCTGTTTTCTTCCGTCCACTTCCTTGACGTCGGGCTACGCTACCAGTATCACGGTAACGAGCAATGGTATGAGACAAAAAGATTTATTCACATTTAAATGCTGGAGTGCTGTAACGATAGCCACTTGTGGTTTCCCGGCCAAATACAGAGAAATCACACTATCACGCTTGAAATCCATCACGAATACCTTTTTTTCTGAAAAATTCTCACCAAAATGATTTATACGCTTGTAAGCAATATAATGAACTGTCACTGGAATATTTTGAACAGCTGTTGGACGAGTGGCTTAGAAATGACAGCAGTCTGAAGTTGATTGCAGTTTTTTCATCTCACCCTGTATATAAAAAATTCCCGACTTTTGTCGTTAATAGGCACCAAAAAACGGAATTCCATATACACAGTGCACTGAAATTTTGTTAATTCGGGGAAAATATTCAAAATCAAGGCTAAAATTTTATAGTTTTTAAGAAGGTCGGTACTTTAATATTTTCCATTTTCGAAGGTTCTAAAGTGATTCAATCATTGCCTACAATATACTCATTCCGGTCGCCAATTTTGAAATCCATGTTCTTCGACAAACTTGTTGAAAGTTGTGTTCTGACAAGGTTATTCACAAATTTCACTTCACTTCCTAGAAGTTAATTTATTATCTGTCTTTTCGATAATTGGAACATCATCATTTAGGAACATTGAAAATCATTTCCTTAATACTGATACAACTAAATTTCTGCTCCAGGAATATATTACATTTTTACATGAAACATTGCTAAATTCCAAACCAAGTTTACTTCGAAAAATATTAGCCGAGGTCTTCATCGGCTTTTGTATACATTCATATAAATAAACAAAGGTAATACCATATTTATAACCCACTGTCCAATTTAGATAGTAATCTATGAAATGTACTATAAAAACATTAACACTATTATTACTATTATTATACAAAAGACATGCCATATACTAAAAAAACTATATAAAATATAAAAATTATAAAATTTAATTCATTATGGAAAACAATAAAAACGACTGTAATGAAAATAAATCGTAAGCAGGGGCTTAGTTCTTGTGCTATGGAAAAGGGAAATTAAAAGATTTATAAAAGAAATAAATGTGAAATAAATAGAAAAGATTAAAAAGAAAATATTATTAGTTTCTTATTTTCATAGGACAAAAAAAAGGCCCCTTTATCTTGTCATTTACAAATTATTCATCTACCTACCTAGCAATCCTTGTGGTCTCCCACCTCTACTTATTCGAGGCGATCTCTTTAAATCCTTCCCCTCCAAATTATCTGTAACCGCACTTGAAATATTTTACACTTTAATGGATTTTCAGCAATTATTCGCCCATTTATCAACTGCAACAGCCGACAGATACAATTTAAACAAATTAAATAGAACCAGGTCTATGTTGTAGTCGCGGTCAAACACCTAACCACTGTGGAGGCGACGAGAACTCGAAACTGTTGTTGATTAATGAGGAATGAATTTGTCTCGTTTGTTGCAGCAAACAAATTCGAATGTGGAAAACTTTGACAAATGGTTTCATTCCACACACACTCGGACACACACACAAACATGTTTGAACACCCATGCATATCACCCTCACAAAACATCAACACAAAAAGGATCAATCACCGTATAAACAGTACTTTAACACACAGGAACACATACACACGCACACAAATGGGTTCTTTTTTCGCAAAGAGTAAATTCCCATAATGTCCTTTATTCGAAACGGCAGTTTTGAAAAAGTCAAATGATATTAAAAATAAAACCCGTTATACCTTGTTCTTGCTTCGCCGCTCACCGATGTCGCTCGTCGTTGAAATGATGTTAATTGTGATGGCCGTACCAAACACAACAGCCGA